GATGAAGACTGGAAGGGGAGGACAAATGAAAAAAACACCTCACCCTGGAATCATTTCAGGAGCCCATTAACAAAGTAACTCCTGGGGAAAAAAGCGATTGCTAAAGAGACCGGACTAAGGGGGAGGGAATTAGTTGTACATTTGCGCAGGATGCTAGGCTGTTGGGTAACTTGCCCGTGTGGGAGCTAGATTTCCTGGTTTCTTTCTCGGCCCCCAGCACTCCAAGGAAGCGGTTGGAGTTAGGGATCTCCCGGTAAGTTAGCGGATGCCTGTTCCGGCAGCGGAAAGGCTGCTGGCATCAGAGTGTCTATAGACAACGGTTGTTATAACCGCTGCGTTTAGAAGCTGGAGAAAGGGCGACCCGGGCAGCTTTGTCGGAGCCCGGCCAGCTCGCCGCTGGAGGGTTCCGCGATTCACTTTGCTGCGCCCCGCTCCCGCCGGGGCTGTTCCCTGCTCCCGGGTGCCCTCTTAAAAAGTCTTGTTGCTAATCCGAGGTTTCCAGCAAGGTAACCGAGCAGACCAGGAGCGCGAACCCTGCGCTCTAGAAGGGCCCGGGAGCAACTGAGGAAAAGGGACGGAGCAATGTCACAGTCGACCCAGGGAGATTGTTCGAACCCGCTTTTGAGGGGGTGGGGGTGTCTGGTGTTTTTGGAGGCCCTTGTGCCTGGGATGCAACCCACCGGCTCCTGCTCCTCTCGCATGTGCTGCCTCTGGCGTTCCTGGCAACCCAGTCAAAGTTGTGCGGGCAGGAGCAGGCGCAAGGGCAGCCCCCGCGGAAGATGCAGGCGAAGCAGATTTGGCAAAAAAAAGGAAGTGGCCTAGGCCACCGCGGCTGCTCCCCCCCTGGCGCTCCTGGGGCTCACTCCCCTAAGCCCTGCGAGCCACAGCAGGGATGCTCCGCGGAAAACTGGAGAGAGGTGGCCACCCCCCTCCGGCAAGCCTGGGGCTGCACCCCACGTCCAGAGACCGCCCTGGGCTCCGGGGTCCCGTGCACTAGGGTTTACTGCGCCTCCAAAGCGGCGACTCCTTTCTCTTACTGCCCGCCCCCCCCATCCCTTACGCTGCATTCCGGAGCAGAAATTGCTCCGTGCAGCCCAGGTTTCCAGCCGGTAAGCGAATGGTGCAAACTCCGCTAGTCGTTAGCGACTCTACATTCACACCCCAGCCCTCCGCAAGCGCCCTGCAGGTGGCTGGCCCCTGGAAGGAAGAGGAGATCGGTTTAAAAACTCCGCACACGGATGCTGCCCAGGCACCCCACCTCCCCATGTAAGCAAGGCTTCTAGCAGGCGCCTTACCTGTAGTATGCCGTGGCAGGGAGCACAGTGCAGAGCCTCTAGCAGCTAGAAGAAGAAGAAAAGGGATGTCAGAGTTTTGGTGTATTTTTTTTAAATCTCCTGGTGGGGAGGGAGGATGAAGACGTCGGCAGGAGCGTTTGTGGGGGAGAGGGGAGGAAATCGTGAAAGGCTGGAGCCTGGAGAAGGCAAACCCGGGGAGATCGAAACAGAAGACGGGAGGGAAGAATTAAAAAAAAAATCACAACACAGTCTCGGCGGCGGCGGCAGTCGCAATCCAGGAGGTGTAAACGCCGAATCCTGCCCTATTTCTGCTGCCTGGACCGGAGCTGCCTGACGTCACCCGGCCATTTGCATATTCTGCCCAATAGCTGACACCTGTGCGGGGCTGGGAGCCGGGGAGGATGGAGTCCCAGCGCAGCCAGACGGGCGCTGCCCCTCCTGGGGAGCCAGGTAGGCCGGGGGAGGGCAGGGAGAGTCGTAGCTCCAGCCAGCGGCTCCGTCAGCCGCACTGGAGAAGCACAATGCTGAGTGACAATCCGGTTTTGTTTAGGGCTGGGAAAAGACAGAGCCAGCTCCGCATCCAATGTGACTAGAGGGCAGGACTAGGAACCGGGGTCTTTTCCTAGCTCCGGTTCACTTTGTGACCGTGACCAATGTGCTGTGCCCCTCTGGGACTCAGTTTCCCCACTCTGAAATGGGGATCTCACCCTCCTCCTTGTGTCACTACTCTAAGCCACATTGGCACTGGCTGAAGGATACTTTTAATAACCCCTTCCCCACTCATCTGAGGAAGTGGGTTTTGTCCACAAAAGCACATGATCTATATATTTAGTCTCTAAGGTGCCATAGAGCTACTTGTTTAAGTTACAGCCTAACACAGCGATCTCTGAGACCTCCCTCTTCGGTAGCAATTGTCAATCGGCCTGTCAGTAGCACTCCCAGCCCTTGGAAAGTCATAGTATTTGGTCTAATGTACTGACATTTTTTGTTGCTCTTCCTGCAGTGGCCATGTAGCAGCAGTGAAAGTAACTTAAAATTTCTTACCGGCAATGTCCTAGTGCAACCCAGGTCACTGCCAGCTCTTTAAATAGCTCCCTGGTGGCTTCTGCTAGCAGCTCAGCCAGCTCTTGCTGAAGCTGTGCACCTGGGCACATCCACTTACTTTTTACCTCTGTATCTAAGCAAAAGGCTTGCAAAGGACTTACTGGAATCAGAACACGACACCCCTTTTTACCCTGGTGCAAATGCCTGCCCAAGGTGCACAGGGATTGTGAGTCAGGCAGATTGAGAACACAACAGAGTTTATTTCTAGCTTTCCTATCTGAAGAGATCACACAAGACAATATTTCCAGGAGTGGGAAGAGGTGAACTCCCAGACTCTGAGTCACTCAGCTGATCATTAGGAGACTCTGGCCTTCAATGGCTCAGCCAGAGCAATAAGGATGGCTGAACAGGCTTAGAATGGCAGATAAGAAGCAGGAGTCAAATCAATGAGTAGGGAGAGAAGAAATGAATTACAAGACCGGAACTTTTGTCTTATCTGCAGAATTTCAGTTTTCAAATCTATTTAAGTGAGGGCAATGCTAGGTTATTAGGCTCCACACAGTTTAATATCACACTGATTTTGGCTGCTATATGGAGTCATTGTTCCTCTATCCAGAAAGGTGACAAAATAGGCTCCCATTGACACTGCTGCAGACTTAATAAAATAAAAACACAAACTCAAAACAAAAAAACCCCAGGCTTTAATATCACCAAAAAGACCTAGGACTACTGACTTGGTGAGATTCTGTAGACCAACCAGCTGCATTGCTTAAGGAGGAAGACAGACTCCCTGAGGAAAGCTGCTCTAATTCCTAAGGAAAAAAGTGGAAGATGCAATAGAAAACAAACAAACAAACCCTGGTGACGTATCCTCTGAGAAATGGGCTGCTATTAAGTCATTTGAAATAGTCATTCCCAAATATAAACACAGACTGAAACTAGCTGTTGTCAAGTTTGAAAAGCATCTGTAAAATTGCGGCGCTCTCTACATGTTTCTCACTAGCTAAAGTTGGTTTGGGTCACAATTACTATTGTTAGGATGGGAATGAAAATTCTGATGCATTATCATCCCCAAAATGTTCAGATTTGACCTGGATTGTTGCAGTTTGACACAAGCATGGAAGTCATGTATTTCTTGGGGATCCCCTCATTCAATGACTCTATTTCATGTTCTCAGTGGAGGCAGCAGGAGCTATTTTAAACGGTACCAAAGACTTAAAGAGGAAGGGGAAGTGTTATTCCCCCAAATGTCACCAGAATAGGAGAATGTCAAGTGGCCTATCTCCCTCAAGATAACACTGGATTGAGGGGGCAGAGGGAGAGAGAAGCTATTACAGAGTTTGGAAGAGGATGGGTTGGTCACGGAAGTTCTCATGAGCCAGATGTGGAGACTACAGAAATGCACCAGAGACATGAAGTCTAGATCAGCTTCTATGTTCACAGATGTTCAGACCCCTATATCTTCTCCAGGCCTGGCTAACTTCTTTTCACTATGTTTCTCAAATCTTGGACTAATTCTTCCCAAACCTTGGACACAATACCACACCTTTAGATGCATTCAAATATTTTCACACTCTTCTCCACAACTCATTTGCTTCAAAAGAAAACTGTAAATACAGGCAACCCCCCCTTACTTACAACCTAATTGGTTCCTGGAGAATCATCGTAAGTCAAGCCTTCATAAATCAAACCCTTATTTCCCGTAGGCGCAATGTTATAAATGGCAGTTCCATTCCTGGAAACCCATTTCATACCCTAAAAATACCAAAATTGACTATGGAAATGGAGGAAACCTAAATTAAACTCCAGTATATGCCTTTACTAACATTTATTAACTTAAAAATAGTCCAAATAATGCACAAAAATAACTAAAAAGTGAAGACCGATGTGGTGGAGATGCAGGCAGTTCAAGCAGCAGCTGCAGACTGGCGAGTCTGACTGACCTTGTGTGTTTCCTTTTTTGGGATGATGTGTGGAGTCTGTGTCATATGCCATTGTAAATGCAAGCTGTGGATGTAAATTGATGGGGGTGGTGGTTTAGGAGCTCTCTCGCATGAAAAAGTGGTCATAAATGTGGGGGGTAGTAAGTCGGTCAGTTGTAAGTCAGGGGGTCACCTGTACAAAAATTTGGGGGATACTGTTCTCTGAACAGTTTTAAAATTGAATTCCACAAAACACAATTTCACAAAAGGTATTGCTTTTCCACAGAAAATGTTGATGTTCAAAAACAATGCCTCAAAACAATTTTTCATCTGAAAACACAAATATTGTTATTCCAAAATGTCACCCGTGTGCCTCCTTCACCAAGGCGGAAAACCATGGTGCATTGTGTGTGATGTAGTCTGACCAGGTGACTCAGCCTATAGAGTAGAATTTGAGCAAGAGGGGTCTGAACTAAAAATCCCATGATGCACTTCAGCAACATTTCAGAGTCAAAAGACTTAGTTTTTCCACATAAAACTGAAATCTGTAACACTGGAGGGAATCCTCTATGAAGGGGAAGGTGGGGGGTGGAGGGGTGCAGAGGTTTCACAATTTGTGAATGGTGAAGGGGACAATATAGGAATTGGGCAGGCTAGGGACAGGGAGTGCTCACAAGCTAGGAAATGGATGGCTCCACTCTACAGAGTTTACCAAGAGACTGGCAATACAGAGATGACCTTTTCACAGAGCTCCCTTCCATAGGGAGTTAGCCTCCATTAAAACAGGTGTCCTGGGGGAGTAGAAGAAGAATTTTGAGATGTTGGGAATGTCACACGAATGACTTTGTCTTCCTGCAGCTCCATCAGCATCTGTGAATTTTGGCACCCAACTATGGTTTATTGCAGAGGTAGGACCACACTGTCCATTAACATGCGATGGAATGATGAAAGAATAGTTCTGTTGAGGGAATGCTTTCTGAGTCCACAGATATTTCAGTAGGGTGAGACTGTTTATACATGACAGCAAGGTGCCAAGGGGAGCAAGTGCCTCGCAAGATTTGGATGCTCTTCCATATTAGCAACAGTGAGTGCACCAAGGGCAGCTTTCCAGGGAAAAGCAGAGAAGCTAACCCAATGCTGCACAATATTTATGCACTGACTAACATGTTCTTTTAAACCACACAAAAAATATAGTTTGACTCATACTCATTGGCCATTTAAAATAATTGGGACCATACAATTTCCCACCATCTGGAGAGCTGCATATCCTGGGAAAAGGGCAAGATTTTAAAACTTAACACCGTATTTAGGTACCTAAATGACCTTTTCAAAAGCAATCAACATCCTCATTTCCAACTATTTTCATGGCAGATCCCAGTGCTTCGCATTCTAAACATTTGGGATCAAGTATTTTGAATCTTTCTGTATTTATTTTACCACCTTTACATTTTAAAAGTATTTATTAAAAACAAATGACTGTCTAGCACTCCTCTAACCTCCCAGAAGCTCCTCCTCTAATCACGAAGGGCAGGTTTACAAACTACGTCAATTGCGTAGCTTGAATTGAAATAGCTTATTTCGGCTTTTGACATGGTCTACACAGCAGGAAGTCCGAGAGAGCTCTCTTCCTTTGACTTCCGCTAGTCCTTGTAAAATGAGGGTTACAGGAGTTGGAGTAGGCTGTCCTCCAGCTCGCCATTATTTTGAAATACTGGCTTGAAGTGTAGACACACTCTTTTATTTCGGAATAATGTCAGTTATTCCTAAATAATGCTGCTGTGTAGACATACCTTTAATGAGCTCATATTTTTGCTTGCTTACATTTACACTATATTGGGAATAGGAATTTTCTAGCTGAGGAAGTTTCTAGTTGAGGCACAGCAACTGGCTGGCCCGTGTGTACCAAGATGTATTCTAATATTTCCATTGGATTATGTGGCACTTTCTAAAAGGCGTGATATGTAGTATCCTCTTTGAAACTCTGATGTGCCCCAAGATACTCTTTACTGGTTCACACGGCTTACATGTGCTGGCAATGAAAATGACTTTTAGAGACAGAGTGGGAGAAATAAACTACTCTCACCACTGGTGATGAAAAATGGATACATTCTTAATATTTAGAGATGGATGAGTGAAGGAATTCAATGCAATGCAGCTTTTTAACCAGGAACACATAGGGCCCGAATACTATAAAAAGAAAAGGGTGATTCTAGGTAGCAGAAAAGAAAAATGGATTGATTTAAACCAGACATAGGGAATGGGGATTTTCCTGATGCAGAGGAAAAGGAAGCAAGGCACTGCAGGACTAGATAGTAATCTGTAATATTGAACTGAAACCAGTTCATCTGAAGAAGAGAAAAATCTTTTCTGTAGGCTCAAAGTGTATTGGAAACTAAAAAGCCAAATGAAAGTTCTTTGAAAAGTCAGATGACTTCAGAGGCGAGTTAGTATAGCTTGTGTTCTATAAAATAAATATGAGTGACAAGAGAGAGTCTAAGAGGAAAAAGCAGACTAGACTTGGAGGAAGCCACAGAAGTACCGGCTTCATCTACATTAGGGGTGGGCAATAATTTTTGATGGGGGGCACTCCAAGAATTTGGAAAGTGGTCAAGGGCCATACTCTTCCATATTAATGGAGGAGGCATGAGGTCTGGGATGGAGGTTGGGTGCAGAAGAGAGCGTGCAGTAAGATTGGGGTGCAGGAGGCAGTTGTGACCTGGATTAGGGGACTAGGATGCAGGTTTTGGGGTTCTGACCATGGGGAAAAGGGGGTTGTGACCTGGGGAAGAGGACTAGGAGGCTGCAGGGGTTTGGGTTGTGACCTGGGGCAGGGGATTGGGGTGCACGATCTGGGGGTAGGAGGGGGGCAGATGGTTTGGGATGTGACCTAGGATAGGAGGGGGCAAAGAGTTGGGGTTCCATAGGCAGGCTCTGGCTGGGAGACTTACTCATTTGACTCCCAGTCAACAGTCTTCCCATGCAACCTCCCTGCCTGCAGGGCCATGTGGTTTCTCAACAGCTACAAGCCTGAGGGGAACAGGGAAGGGTGCTTCCCAAGCTGCCTGTTGACAACAAGTAGCTCCCATTGGCTAGAAACCAGCCAATGGGATTGTGCTGGGGGCAAGAGCAGTGCACAAACCCCTTCCTCTCTTCCCTAGGCTCACAGCTGATCCAACAGCCCACAACGGCTGCTTTTATGAGCATCATGCAGGGGGCAGGCAGGGAGTCTGTGGGCCGGATCCTGCTTGTGTGGGGTAGTTTGCCCAGGCCTGACCTACATTCACTACTATATTATGAATACATTTGCATGATTTTTTTTAAAAGAAGGGTCCAAAACCAGCTTCATCCCCCAGAATCTTGCACTAGAACTTAGGATCATTTTTTTAAAAAAAATATAGCAGGCCTGAATCTCATTTACACTAAGGCCATGGATGGAGAGTTCACTCTCGGCTCAGGAAGCTGGCCAGGCTGGGGCTAGCCTCCGTCTGCCCAAGACCTGTCCCCCCTTCTCCTGCCAGGGAACGGTGGCCCCCTCCAGTCCCGATGGACAGTATGGCCCACCCTACCCCTACACAGCCAGGAGGATGAGCAATGCAAGCACAAACTCTGGCTGCCTAGAGTCATTGACTGCAGGCTGCCCTCAGACCTGGCCTGGAGTTCTGGCCACAATGGAGGAGCCCCAGTGGAAAGCAGGAGGGGATTGGGGCAGAGCATGGATGGCACTACACAGGAC